ACTTGTGAGTTCTACGTGACGGGAGGATCTAAACAGCTAAGGACAGCTAATTTTATTTTAACTGTTATGATGAGAGATAACTGGTGAGAGTTTTTTGTTGAAAATTTTATTTTTTGTTTAACAGAAGGGCTTTGGAACCTTTTGTTTTATTACTGCGAAAAGAAGTGAGAGAAACAATTTTTTGTATAGTCAGAAAAGCTGCATCAACATTGCGTTCAACGTTTTCTTTGTGTTTTTCTATGTTGTTGTGAAGCTGTGTAACGCTTTTGTAAGAAATAAAAACAAAATTGATCTGCTTCGGCCCTTGCTTTCTCGGGAAGAGAGCCGACATACCTTGAAGCTGAGGGCGACAGATGCCTTCTATTCTTTTCTGAAAAGTTAGAAGGCATCTCGAGACTCGAGACTTTCGAGACTCGAGACTTTCGAGACACGAGACTTTCGAGACTCGAGACTTTCGAGACTGGAGACTTTCGAGACTGGAGACTTTCGAGACTCGAGACTTTCGAGACTCGAGACTACAGTATCGAGCCTTCTCGATACTTCTCGTCTCGGTGCATGCCTAGCGAAAAGTATGAATATTGACATAACTCCAGGATAACTGCTCATCCGCTCTTTCTCGATACTTCTAATGTGGATATTCGTGATCACCGGGGTAGACTTGATATTTCCAAGTGAATATTGCCATGTTCTGACCCGTTGGGCACTTTGAGTATAGACCCGTCTTGTGCACAATCATGCGCTCTACATAATCCGCTAAAAAAATCTCTGAGCAACGCACAAATGACTTTGAAAATTTAAAAATACTAAAAAGTTTTATGTTTTTAAAAGGTAGAAAATTTTTGAAAATTTAATTTTTAAAATCCAATAGAAGGTTTTCTTGAGCACTAAATACATCAGTCGATGCAATTTTATTTGCTCTTTCACATGAAACGTTGTTCGTAACTATCCAATTGACACCGAAAAATAAAAATTACTACAGATTGGACTATCGAAGACCCTTGTTTTAAAAATTTGTTCACTCCGTCAATACGAGGTCTGAAGGTCTAAAACGTTTTCGTTACTACATGTGAAGAATCGAATGAAAGCATAAAAAATATATGCTAATATATTTCATGTTTTGGCCTTACAAGCGGATACTCCGTGGGCTTATACATTATCTCCTAATTATTAAACATCGTTTAAGAGATTCGCCCGCTAACGAAACTTCAAATATATTTCTAATAAAACAATTACAGAGTACAAGCATAATGTAGAATAGATGGATCAATATCTGTGTAAAGCCTGGAGCCCATCGAAAGCTGGGGAAAAGTAGGAAATTCATTTTACTGCATACTTGTTTTTTGCAGAACTAACTGTGACCGTGTGAAAGACCGTGTTTTTCTTCTCGAGTTTCAACCGAATTTTGGTCATTCTGTTTTATATAACAGGCAAAACAGTCATGATTTCTCTCAAACATTGTTTTAGATATAAATATATGATTCAGATTTAAGAAAAAATTAACTTTTCCTCTTGTTATCGGTCTCTTGGCCAGCATTAAGCCATAGTTTTCGCACTGTTCCTCTATAGTTAAAAAATGATTACTCTGTCCATGCCACGTCCCTTTTAAGAACACTGGCGGTATATGGCAGTATTCTTAAATACCGGCGATATTTATGCTGTGTCTCTACGGCAACTCACGGTACTACCCCATGGCATAAGAATACCACCATATACTGCCAGTTTTCTCAAAAAGAAACGAGACGTGGGTCGGGAACGACAGCTATCGAGCTTGATAATTCTAAAAGAAAAGTGACGAAAACCAAAAGGTGACTTTTTGGCTAAATGACTAATCATCGTCAGCACATTGCAGGACGATACCACGTCTAAACACAAGAAATAACTGCCTCAGTTGAACTTAGGTATGCACCGATTTCGGTTTTAAAACCGAAAAACCGACACTCAAAAAACAAAGTTCGGTTTAAACCGCAAATACTCGATAAAATTCACTTTCGAGAAAGAACATGGTAACAAAATTCCATTTTTAGACGTCGTGGTAAAAAGGACAGATGATGGCTTTACGACGCCTGTCTTTCGGGAAAAGAAAACGACCAGTGTCATGATAAAATGGGATAGTAGTGCTGAAAGCATATAAAAAAGCAGCAGTTAGCTCATTAGTCAAAGAGCAAATCGAATTTGCTGTGATTTGCAACTAAATGAGGAATCTGACTACATACGTAATATGACAGCACGAAAAGGCTATCCAAAAGGACTTGTGAATGCGATCATCAGCAAATATTTAAATAAACTGCATGAGGAAAATATTAACAATTTAACTGATCACAAACGAAACAATCTACAGTAATCAACAATGTACAGTATCACCAAATTACCCAAAACAATTCCCACCCGACTTTTATATTTACACTTAATCATATACACATATCATCTCCCAAATAAAGAAGAGAACATGCCTATTATATACTGAGAAATACAATTGCCTAGTTCGAGTGGTACTAGTTCCCTTGTCTCTTTCTCAACAAATTTGGCGATTTTACACTAATATTGCTTTTTCCGTCAAATATACGACTACTGAAATGGTGGAAACACCAGAATTAAATAGAAACACCTGAAGATATTCAAGTTGGCGAATGTTGTATATTCACCTAATTTGCAATCATTTTTAGGCAAAAATTTGGACGATATTATTTTGTCAATGAAATCAGTTTCTACAAACAGTTAGAAACAGACATTCCTTCGGAAGTCTCTTAGGGAGCGGGCATGTTAAGACAGAGCTCTCATTTCTGCGATCTATAGCATTACACGAGCTTTTGCCCTTTCGAGATAGTCAGTCGTTTCTTTCTCCATTTTGTTCGCTTTCGTTCTTTCTCATTTTTCATTCATCACACATTTAGTACGTTACTGTACAGTCACACAACTTTCTTTTTGTTTTTTTCTGTTGCCACACATACAGTTTTAGTCATTCGACCCCAACATTTTCCTACCGTGGCATATATATACATACACTTTATTCTATATACACTGCCCTCTTTTTGTCAATACCGACAGTGCACAGTTAGACCTCGTGCTACCTCTTGTTTGCAGTTTATATTTTATAATTTATTCATTTTCAAGTTACAAAGTATATTCCTACATGAACAATCATTTCATCACAATCAGATGCCTATTTCATCGCCCTTGAGTGGTGACTATCATTGTTAGTTAGCCTACCTCCTCCTTTCATCCCCCAAGACAGGTCCAGAGATCACTCACTGCGATACCACCAGGTCTCTGCTTACTTTTCATCAGCTTTTCGGGTAGTAGGGCACTAACAAGAGTTAAGACTGCTCCAAAATTGTAGATCTCGATTTGGGCTATCGATTGCACTGTTTGAAAATCAAAATCCATCGTACGGTCTGAGCACAGCGGTCTCGTGGACTTTGCATCGAAAGGCTCATCGTGGTAAACCTTACCTGAAAGCCTAGGTTTTGCATACGCTTACGTCCCCCAAATATTCTCCATTCAACGGTGAAAACAGCACGTCTCTATCACTTTTCGTTCAAATGTGATAAGCATTCGAACGAGCACGTACTAGAACAAATTTCCCATTCTTCCCCTGCACACATTGCGTGTACACGAGATCAACATGTGTTTTTATGCTATTAGAATCTAACTTTCACGTAATGATATGCAGATGCATGAGCAGATGAATCAAAACTTTCATTCTTGTTTTCTCATTTGTTACTGTTCTGCAGAAACGTTCCATCATCTAGTGTACCACTAAAATCAGCAGTTGAATATCTACATCCATCGCCGTCAAGTTCATTTTGAGCATTCCCCCACCAATCCACTGGAAATACTGGGATAAATGCAATGATAATAAGTGCCGCACCAACACCAGCGCTCATTGCTGCTGAAAATATGTAAGAATACTTTATCCACCAGTCACGAGCACGCTTTCGAATAACATAATTGAATATAAAACCGATAAATATCCACGTCGGATATGTAGCAGTATGTATAGGTGGTATTTGTGATAAGGACGCGAGCATAACTGGAAAATGCACATATCTCAACCATCGAACTTGATGAAATCGTTTAAGTAATAGCCACACTGGAATCGGACACACTGCTCCGACCAAGAAGAAATATACTGTAAATGAGTGTGTTCGAAGAAAATTAGTTGTGCCTATAGTGCCCAAAAAGAGAGATA